GATATTTATGGTTTTAAAGTGTGGAACTAATATGTAAAACATAATTTAGATGGGTTTTAAGGAAGTTAAAGGTTTTAAACAAGTCCAAAATTTGAAAAATTGTAAATATAAGGTTTCAAATTTATGAATTCCAGGTATAACCATGGCTGACCCCTATAGGTTCTAGATCCATCCCTCTATGATGATATTTATGGTTTTATAGTGTGGAACTAAGATGTAAAACATAATTTAGATGGGTTTTAAGGAAGTTAAAGGTTTTAAAAAAGTCCAAAATTTGAAAAATTGTAAATATAAGGTTTCAATTTTACTAATTTCAGGTATAACCATGGCTGACCCCTATAGGTTCTAGATCCATCCCTCTATGGTGATACTTATGGTTTTATAGTGTGGAACTAAGATGTAAAACATAGTTTAGATGGGTTTTAAGGAAGTTAAAGGTTTTAAACAAGTCCAAAATTTGAAAAATTGTAAATATAAGGTTTCAAATTTACGAATTCCAGGTATATTTCAGACAGTCATATGTTAGATTTTGTCTGTTTCCTGAGGATTTAAGCAGGTGCATATGACAGGCCATTGCAAGAACGGGAAAAGAACTCTTAGAGATGATAAAATAGTTTGGACTTTGAGACAGCGAAGGTGCAAACAATCCACCCACATGTTTTTTCCGGAAATGTTGTCCTGATTTTCAAGCCCTTTTACCCCTGCTTTTTCAATTTTTGTTGCATCAATATGTTGCGTTTTGAGACATAGTTAACCCATAAAAAGGAATAATAAATTTCTTTTAGATAAAGCAGAAAACAATATTTTCCTGTTATTTTCCCATAGGGAAAACTCATGTGCTCCATTACTTTCAGCTTAATTTTGGTCACCCATATTTGATATCTTTTAAACCCCTGATGGAATGCATTATTTCTTTAAAGGGGTTAACTTTGTGTCAAAACACAACATATTGATGCATGTGGGTGGGTTGTTTGCACCCTGTCTCAAATAGAAATTATTTTATCATCTCTAGGAGTGCTTTTCCTGGAGGAAATGCATTGGCCTAACATATGCACCTCCTCAAATCCTCAGAGAATAGCAAAAATCCAACATGTGACTGTCCTCAATCTGTTGCAATACTTTCAGTCCTCCTTTACGATTTCAGGTATTGCCTTGGATGTCTCTCTTTTTGAATGTATGACTTTTTAGCTTAGAAATTAGATGTTGAAAATATTGTGGTCAGGTTTGATCCATGTTACAAGTATTGTTAAAAGAAAAATCATTAGAGTTGAGGACCTCACCCTAGAGTTCCTAAGGGGTGAGAGGTTAGTAAATCCCCCCCCCCCCCTAAAGTGTAACTGCTCTTAGGGATATCGTATACAGTGTAGTAATTGATTGATTAAATGGATTATAACTAATTAATTATTATTTGATGATATTTATTTTTTTACCAAATATCACATATTTCTTACAAAATTGGAATGCTATTAAGCTTTTTATGTGGTCAGTATTCACCTTTCCCCAAAGTCCAAAGTGCACTCATTTGACCGCTGCGCTGATTGGGCGATGAAAATCAATGACGTCAAAGCAGGGCACATTTTGCGCCAAAACTTTAATTACTATTAGATCGCCGAATGAGTGAAATAAATTGTAGATCTCAATATAAAATGATAACAAAACTAAGTGAAATATATTTTTCTGATTAATTTGTCTTAAGCTGTGTCCTAAATACACCATCCTGTAAATCAAACCATAGAAATAATTGTGATACGAGTGCACATCTTTTAACAAAGTGAATCCAACTGCGCAAACTTCTTTGGCAGACATAAAAGTAACTTTGTCATGTGGTATAATATAATAGGTGTGCTATTGGGCACTTCCCATGAATTTTTTCAACCTCTTACAGTGTCTAATTGAAAAGTTAGGATCAAAATAGTAAGAAAATGAGTCACGAATTTGCCCCCTGGGGTACACACTTTGTACTAATATTCAATTTCCTTAGGAGCAATCAGCATCAATTATACTGCAAATGATTCATATATATAATATCTATGTATGTCACTTACAAACATCAAAATATCTAAGGTTATTTACTGTGAACAATTTTTTTCCCCGGGTGGGGTGTTTTTGGGGGGTGGGGGCTAACTCCTCAAAAAAAAGAACTTCCTACCACTCTGTGAAGCTATCACCTAGGTGGACGTTTCATCCAAGACTCTCCCCTAACTGAAAATGCTGCCAAACCAACTATACACCATTTATTGAGAATTTTCCTCCTCGCCCCTTGAGTATTGAGCGCGTTTCTCTTAAATTAAATTGAGAATTACTTAAGTTAAATTGGGAATTATTTATTGCCATGTTCAGCCATCGGACAAGTGAGATTCATTGATACCTTTGTGGCTGCGTCTCTTATTGTCAAAAGGTCACCAGCTCCCTGAGCCTGACAAAGCACTCTTGCCTCCAACCACGTCACTTTGGTGCTAGGTTCTATGTAGTAACACCCTTTGCTTGCAGGGTCGTACTGATAGTTTGCTGGGCAATTTGTCGTACTTGGTACTAAAAATAATGAATTCATGTATAGCGATGATTCATTAAAAAATACAGCTTGAGTCAAAAGTGGATATTTGTCATTCGGAAAACAAAACAAAAGTTAATAAAACATAACGTAAGGATAACAAGAGTATTGTCATGTAACACATTATTAAACAGGTGGATAACAATTAGTATTTCATACCTACTGAGGTTCTAGGTACATAACGAGCGGGAATATATAGTGTTTCTAGGGACCGGGATGGATACACGCTGTATCCATGTGTATCCATCCCGGTCCCGCATTTTTTTCAAATTTTTTTTCAAAATTTTTTTAAAAAATTTTTCAGTTTTTTTTTTATTTATTTTTTTCAAATTTTTTGAAAATCTCGCAAACTTCAAGACCAAGAAAACGCCTAGTACCTTAAGTATGTTTTGGAATTTTGGATCTTTATAAGGTATGATGTACCTAGAACCTCAGTAGGTATGAAATACATCTGTTATGTACGGTCGGTTTTGGATACAGTGTTTATCCCGCAGGAAATATGTGTATCTCCCTTGGGATAAACCCTGTATCCAAAACCTCCCAGTACATAACCCTTATGTATATGGTTAACGTACTATGACATATGTATGCCATCTTTGTGTTGCAATTTCTACTTCGGATACTTGTGGCAGATCCTCTCATTGATGAACACAGCGCCATACCATTGTAATTGTTAGGTTCAGAGTCCCAAGTGCTGTGATAAAGAAATAAAAACATATGATATGATTACTTCATTTTTATTAATCGATAAAAGCTCATGCAATATTTCAGCACATGATGGGATTGATGGCTAATGAGAAAGTAGTAAAGAAACGTCAATAAAGTAGAAAGCGGTAGAAAATACATAGTCTCAGATGGAACCAACTCCAACATTTAAACCGATGATCAAAAGATCCATCCCTCAAAACACAAATGTAAATCATAATGCCAAACTATTTTAGTGAATTCACATACATATAACTTGTATCTGCCAGCATCGTTTGGTCTAACCACTTCCAGTTGATGGCATTGTCTGTTGGACCATTATTGAGGCCAGTCCACCAGCCAGTGGATAATGTACTGAGAATCATCGCTAATGCAGTAACACCGTTGCGTAAATATAACTAAATCGAAATCACACGTTTCGTTAAAATGATCGAGTTAGCATTCATCCTCCGAACGCATGCAGGGGTCCAGGCATCATCCACTCTATGGAACAGAGTTGGTGATGGATGGTCTCCAGCATTCGGAGGATGGTGAACATCATACCAAATCATAACTATCGTATTGGTGTTAACACTTGCATGCTATGCACTGTCAAAAGCACCCATTTCATGAGTTTAGTTTATATCAACGGAATAACACTTCACAAAAACAAGTTTGAATTTAGCTATTGCAGGCATAATACATCATTTCGAACGAGATCATATCAACTTACATATTCATCTCTCGAGGTGATCCAAACTAAATCTGCACCAGTTTGTCTACTTTTGCAATCTGCCCTTGCATCATCCCAGGTTTTCCTGTTCTCCCTGTTTCGAGTACTGAAGTAATAACAACTGCCTTCATTTTCTACAAAATCTCCGACACATGTTGGTGTACCTATTGTTATAAAAAAGACGAGTGAATTCTAAATTTTTAAGTGATATAATTTAATCCGCCGAATGGCCAAATTCTATGATTTTCCTAATTTTAATTTTCCTAATGACAAGAAACTTCTCATATGATAACATTAGGATGATAATATTCCTGACATTTAATTTTCCGAACCTGGAAAAATTAGGCAATAGGCAATTTGAATTATCACTTTTGCAACTATGATTGCAAGCACATTTGAGATTGAAGTGAGTTCGCTAATTGATAATTGCGTTCTTGAACAAACCTGGTGTTTTTTCATATTTGCAAATGTATCCTCTTTTGGAATAGCACCTGGCATCGTTGAAAACACCATTTTTCCAAATTTCACCACAGTGTTCGACGCCTTTTAGATTATTCGGCTCGGATTCCCATGATCTGTAAACAAACATACAAATACCCGTTGCCATGTATGCAATCACGTACCCGTTCCCGTGTTTGCAATCGAGCCCTCGTTCCCATGTATGCAAAAAGTACCCGTTCCCATGTATGCAATCAAGTAACCGTTCCCATGTATGCAATCAAATATCCGTTCCCATGTATGCATTCAAGTACTCGTTCCCATGCATGCAATCAAGTACCCGTTCCCGTATGTGCAATCACCCGTTCAATTGTATACATGCAATAAAGTACCCTTTCCCATGTTTGCAATCGAGCACCCGTTCCCATGTATGCAATCAAATACCCGTTCCCATGTAAGCATTCAAGTACTCGTTCCCATGCATGCAATCAAGTACCCGTTACCATATGTGCAATCACCCGTTCACATGTATGCAATCAAGTACCCGTTCACATGTATGCAATCAAGTACCCGTTCACATGTATGCAATCAAGTACCCTTTCACATGTATGCAATCAAGTACCCGTTCACACGTATGCAATAAAGTACCCGTTCCCATGTACGCAATCATTTTGCTGCGACTAAATAATTGTCAATTGCGAATTTCGATGTAAATGTGTTTGCAAATGTTGACTAAATAGGTTTTATTCAATTTAGTATCATTTTTTAATTGTATCTAAAGGAGACTCTCATTCATCCCATTTCAAAATAGTACCAACATGTCCTTAAAATGGCTTAAATGCTTACACATATTTAGTGTCGGATGCAAATTCATCGAGCCATCTCCAGTTTGGGATGCAAATTGGGTTATCATCAATTTTCAATCCAGTCCACCATGCGCCTTTGTTTGTTTGTAGTAAATTTTCAATTCCAGCCTAGAGTTGATAAAAGCGCAACGTTATGAATGCTTGAACAGTGTCAACTATTGAAACTGGTTTTTATCTGTCACACGTAATGAGAAACTCAACCTCTTGTATTGGAAATGTATATTTTTAATGTATTACGGTATTGTATTGTGATAATGATTCCTGCATGGTGTGGTTAGACGTTGTTCCACAATTTGGGATATTGGGGGATCGTTTACTATTCAAATTTATGAGTACTGTAATCTACCTTAACTTGTGCTGATGGGACATTAAGTAGATCTGCTCCCATTCCTCTGCATTGAGTTTGAGCGTCAGCCATTTTAAGCCTTTCTTTGACAAAATTAAAACATCTCCCGGCAGCAAACTGCCATCCATTGGGACATTGCGTTTGCCGTCTCTTTCCTGTGACAATAGAGAGGACAGAGTAAGATACAACAAACAATAAACAATTAATCATAAAATATTTTTAGAATACATGGGGTTGTTCAAAAAAATATTACATTGTAATATCTCACAACTGCTCACAACGACAGTTTGAGAAGTGATACTATGTATGGAATTTTTTCTGCATCTTTATTCGATTTTCACACTTTTGCATTTGATTACAACCATTCGATATTCCACTCTATTAAAATGATTCGAAACACGTAATAAATTTGTCATGTGATTCAACTAAACCTTACTCTTTGCTGATAGAGGGGCCTTACAGGCGTAGGCCTTCTTGTATTTACACCCTGCATCGTTGAACACACCATTTCTTAGGATTTCTCCGCAGTGTTCTAGACCACCGTGGCTGTTGGGTTCAGTTGCCCATGTTCTGGAATAGTTAAGGGGTATCATGTATATTGGAACTTGCGTTCTATATATTCAACTTATGATGATATATTTCAATCGTAATAAGTGGTTTAAAGGTGGGTGGCCTTGACTTCGGAGGTGACTATCTATCTCATCACTCAGGCCCCATGGGGCTCTTGGCTCTAAGGTCCCAAAGATTAAAGGCAGAATCTGATCTATAGGGGGTGACAACATTACGAGCAACGTATATAATTGACCTACCAATCTATTCCTTACAATATCAAATACAATATCTCCCAAAAAATTCACAGTATTTTGTAAATTGGTGAAGTTATTAAGGATTCAAAGTGCAAAAATGGGTGAAATATATTTAAATTCTCCCAAATACATTATTGTAAAAATCTTAAGTTTTCCTGAAATAAAGTGTGCACTTTGGGGATTTTTAGAAAATAGACATGAAAAGGAATGACATAAGCCAGGAAGATTCTAAAATTGAAACAATTTTTTGTTTAGCCTGCTCGCTAGATCTGATTCTCTCTTTAATGATTATATAATGTTTCCTAATCAGGACGATCGGCGCTTTCATTGCGTAACATTATCTCATGGTTACGCAATCGGGTATTTTATATACAATTACGCAAGCTCTTTATAGATAGCTGTCTCCCCATGCCAAAAAAGTTTTGTAAAATATTTTATATTTGTATAATAAATTCTATTATTAAAGTTTACACGTGTTCTTTGGATATAAACTTAAATATGCGTGATTCAGACATAATTTTCAGAGATATTTCCTTTAGCGTGTTTGCAGGTGTACAATGAGAAATATCCTAGAAAATTGAAGGACATATTTTATCAGATCACTCCAAAAAAACAGTCATTGGTTGTATTAACCAATGTAACCACACACTCAAAACTTTCCAAATTTCGTTGTACAAATTCAAAAAAAAATTGATAATGTACATTAATATAAAAAAGACATGATGCAACAATGATGCGTATATTTTTGGACATATCGTGTGAACCAGGATGTTCTAGATAGGCTATGTTTATTCACACAATTATCGTCGCGAAACAAGCTTATATCTACCACTACATGTTGATATGACAAGACTAAATACATTGACAGATCGATTGATAAGTGCATGTTTGCATCTCTCAAAGTAACATCACGGGTCTGAAGTATATGGTATTATAGCATGACTATGCTACAAGTTTATCAAAATAGTTTTTTCGATTAAAGGTAATTTGACAGAAATTATCTTTGTACATGATTGTTGTAAAGGACATAGAAAAATTATGATACGCATTGTGAAAAGCCGCTCGTCCCAAACTTGCACAAATATTCTTCAAGCAGACATAAAAATGAGAACCAGTGTTATTTGAAAATCGCCTAGAGCGCTAAATTTGCACTTCTCAAAATAGATTAAAACAATTTTACACTTTTCAGTGGTAAGAACTTGAAAATTCAGAGAACTAACAAATTTGAGACAAAGTTACGACATGAATTCTAATGGACAAAAAACTAAAAAACATGTGCTTCCTGTTTCGGCCATCTTAAGTGACCAAAATACATTCATCTTCCACATACAGGGAAGATGGCGACTTACACTGTTCCGGTTCCGGCACTGGTGCCATCCGTCCACAGATATGGGCTGCACCTATCACTTTGATCCCTATCATTCAACCCGGTCCACATCCAGCCCAAGCCCTTCTCTTTGAGTTTTTGGTTGACGAATGCCTAAAAATTGGAAAACGTTTGAGTGATGGCGATATAAAAATATATTCAAGAGTGCAATTGGTTACAAGGAAACATCTTCCAACATCGTAAATAATGATCTAACATATTGGTATATAGAAATAGGATCTAACGTCCCCCCTCTCTTACAATCAGTCATGGACCATGTGATTATCAGAACAAAAAACAACAACACCAGATTGCCACTAAAAGTCCGAAAAATATTAAATACGGCGTGGTCCAAAAAATGGAACACTCGTATTTCTAAAATAAACATTGATTTTATTGATGAAAACACGTCATATTATATACCAGTGGATAAGGAATTTAATTATCTCTATTTGGTACATAAATTCTCATAATACGTGTCAACCAGCGTCCATAATATAAATGGAAATAAATCAAAAACTTGCAAAAACCAAGTTTTTTGTCAACAGAAACAGATGCTCAACTATAGACCTCAAGCTTGGCCTAAACTGGTCAATAGCATCATTGGTATGCTGTTGAGACAATGAATTTCACTTCTCAACAATTCTGTCCTCAAGGGACTGAAACGATGTTAGGACTTCACGAAATACCGATTTTGTTGGTTCTCCCAGTACGTGGTACGTTGGCATCGGATGATCTGGGTGGCCAACTGAGGCACAACCTTTTGACTGTCTTATCGGATCTATGGCTTAGAGTCACATCTTGTTGGCAATGTAATGATCTGAATATGAGATCAGGAATTAGTCCTCTGTGTAGGACATATTGATTCATCCCCTCCCTCAGATCCCTCAGATCACCCGACGCCAACGTCTGCGACTATCACGTATGGGGAGAACTAACAGAGCTGGTATACCATGAACCCCTTATATCTATTCCGGACAGAATTGTTGAGAAGTGGAATTCATTATTTCAAAAGCATATCAATAATGCTATCGACCAGTTTATGTCAAGATTAAGGGCTATATTTGATCAAAATGGTAGACATATTGAATATCTGTTAATGTTGACAAAAAACGTGGGTTTTGCAAGTTTTTGAAACCCCGTTTTGAAACGAAAATGACGTCATTTGTATTATTGACGCGGGCTGACGGGCATTATAATAAATTTGAACTTAAATGATTTACCAAATTAAAGATAATTAATTTCTGTATCCACAGGTATTGCATCAATAAAATCAATAATTATTTTTTAAATACGAATGTCCCATTTTTTGGACCATCCTGTTTGTAGATGTGAATTATCAAAGTAAATTATCCACTTACCAGAATCTGAGGAGAGTTGATAGTCACAAGGTCAGCGCTATCGATATATTGTTTGCATTGCCTCCTCGCTTCATCCCAAGGTACCCACTTTGTTGGTTCGAAATAGAAGCACTGTCCCATAGCGCTTTCCCAGCCATTTGGACAATTTGGACCAGTGGCTGAATCAAAAAATGAAAAAATTATTGCATATGCGATGAGAAAGCATTCACTCTGAATACATGTGGTCATAATTTGTGTTTTGATTCCAACCATGAGAAATCACCGATGATAAATGACTTACGAATGGACATTTCGTGTCAGATAATAGTGTGGAAATGATCATGAGATGAGCGAAAATGAACGGATTAAGTGTTCTATGAATAAGTGCGTACCTTGGCAGATGTACCTTTGCCCATTGTAACACTCTCCATCATAGAAAAGACCGTGGGCAATGATTCCACAATGCTCCTCGGCATTTGGGTCAACTGTTGGGTTAACATCCCAGTCCCTGTGGTATAAAGTAGGATTACTTACATAGCATTACTGTGTACATAGCATTACTATGTACTTCTCTTGTTTCTGTTACTATACAGCTTCATGAAAGATATCAGACTTATTATAACTTGATAACAAAAATAACTCACAGAAAAAGAGTCGGGTCATTTGTAGATTGCTGTTGATCGTTCCACTTCCATTGATTCTTGTCGCCATCCGGTAGATTATTAGCCCCAATCCACCATCCCCTGCTGCCTCCTGCTCCACGAATGGACCATAGTTTGGTTACAACATCTTGCAGCCATGACTAAGTACAAAGAACACACAATAAATCAAATGTATATGTTTAGAATGAAAGCATTTCCTGAATAGATATCCAGAAATCTGATTTGCATCGAACCAACAATATCCCATTGGTTTACATGGGAATGACAATTTTCAAAGATTCATCAAATTTGTCATCAATTTGCGACCTATAGTAATTGAGAAAAAATTGAAAAAATTTAGAGGCATTGGAATTGAAGTCAAGTTACATTCTCACTATTATCATTAGTAATTTCATTGCTGGTTATGTAAATAAAAATTCAAACATAAAGAGGCTTTAACACGTAATGCAACTTATGGAGGGGTGTGTACCATTACAGTAGCATACATTGTAACAATTAGTACCAGAACCACAATTTCGACTTTCGGTCAATAAAAGGAGTTAATCAAGTGCTAAATAATGTCTTACAGCTTCGGCTGGAGCATCAATCCACATCAGGTCTGCACCAGGGGTAAGTTGGCAAATAGTCCTCGCAGTATTCCAGTCTGTCTTGGTTGTATCACTCCGCGTACTGATGTAATAGCAGTAAGGTCCTCCTCGCACCCATTCATGTGGACATGCCTCTAAATTAATAATTGCAACCATTGAAGTACAAGTGGGAAAAAGGGGAAAACAAAATTGTAATATAATCACAGTTTGCAATTGAAAAATGAGAGCGTAAGAAAAAAATCCCCAATACCCCTAACTATGATCTAGAGTGTAAAGTAATAATCCATTTCCACACCCCTTCAAGATATGAATCTCCACAATCCAGAAACTACAGGGTCATGGCACATTCCATTCGTATTGGGATCAATACAAAATACTGTCTTTATTTATGGACCGAACATGGATTATCGTACCTGTGCCACTCGGAACGTATTTACAGATGTAGCCTCGCCTTGAAGCGCAATTCTCATCGTTGGCCAGTCCGGCCTTCAACACTTCGACACAATGTTCAACACCATTATAATTGTTGGGTTCCGCATCCCAAGTACTAGAATAGCAATGTAATAGTAAAGCTATATAGTGATGAAACCGCAACTGAAATAGCCGCATGTACCTATTATACATGTTTGTCTGTAGACGTCTGTGAAGCTCCAAGTGTTCCGGGCTACCCAAGTATTCCGACTCCTGCCGAAGTATTCTGAATTGACCCAATTATTCTTGGTAGCAAATACACTCGATATGGTGATTTTTCAACTTCTAATCCAATTTTGGGTTTCTACAGAGATGACTGTAGAAATTAAGTTCATGAAATCACTTATAATGTGGCTGCCTCATGCACAAAAGGCTTTCCATTTATTCATATAAACTAACAGGGCACTCATTGAGGAGTGTCAAAACCCCGGTTGTTCGACTTTTGCACCATGAAACACTCATGAGCAATAGGATATTTGGAAAGATTATAGCGATATATGTAGTCTGGGTCTCAGTTTCAGGAATACTAAGTATTACGTCTCAATTTTGGAAAATGGGCCTTTTAAAAAAATGGGTGCGTATTTCTAATAATTGGTCAAATTTTCGACATTTTTTTCTCTCTCTTTCTTCATCCTAGCCTTTTTTGAGCAGCATTTAATTTTGGCACCCTCTCTTGTGAATTTTAAGATATTATAAAATATGTGAACTCGGAACACTTGGGTTGTCAGAACAGTTGGGCAAGAGTCAGAACACTTGGGTAGCCCAGAACAGTTGGGCTTTCACAGACGTCTGTATTTAATGACAGGTTATTTTAAGAGCTACTGCACAGTTAACTCAAACTCAAAACTCAAAACTCATTTCCAAAAAACTTATTTTCGGATTCTATACATCGTTAAGAAGTTAGAGCAAAAATATATTGAAAACAGAAATGTTAAAATAATATTTGTTAATTTTATTGATATTATGCTTTTCTATCATTTATCGATTGACTCCACGTGACCGTTGCGGTCCTTTAATTGCTAAAGCAAAATCGAATGCGCCTAAAAGCTTACACTTGTGAGAGATCACTGTTTTGTTCATTGTTCCATCTCCAATTATGTTTACACTGTAGTCTATCGGACTTGTGAAGACCCGTCCACCAGAATGAGACAGGTCGTTTAGAAAGTTCCTTGGTGATGGCCGTCTGCAACAAGTACAATTTTAGCGAGCATTTTACAAAACAAAGATTCCCCTTGAATGGTTATCGCGACAGGGGATATATGGATTACGTTATTCGTGTTGAGATTTCTGATTTCATTAACGATTTTGAAGCCACAAATTCGTTTGATTGTATACCAAAGGAGTTCACTTCATCAAATTAATGAATTACAAAACGCTGAGGTGATGCATGCTGACAAGAACTATAACAACGATTCTGCAACAACACTGCCCTGTGATTTCTTACCTTAACGTTATGATTTTTAACTTTGAGAAGGCTTCCTCCTTGTGCTAAACACGAACTCTCAGCGTTTGTCCAAGTTGTTCCATTAGTACCAAATAGGAAACATTCTCCCGCTAAACTGGTCCAACCACCGGGACACTGCGCATGAGCTGAATTGGTGTGAAGCATTTCAACCCATTGCCAATTAAAAGATTTAAGTCACATCGGCCCTAATTCAAATTGTGTGTGTACGAATGCCAAATGGGAAACGGCCAAAAAGTATTTTAAACACTAGAAGAAAGTGAAAGATTGGACAGGACAACCAGTGAAAGGGAAACAAGCCCCAATACCCAAATGCGATAGTTTAACACAAGGAATAATGTTCAACGCCCCTCCCTCAAGATTACAATGGGGACGTTGGTCTTTAAATCACTTACTTTGCATAAGAATGAAAATTGTAATTGACTTATTAAGAAACACATTCAAGAACGTTTCATAGCAAAGAAGATTCTCAACGGAGAATGGTTTCAAATTGTTTAAAAAGTTAACACAAATGACAAGAATAAAAAAGTCACTAGTTGTAGTTTGTTTGACTCTGGAATGAATTGTATAGGATTATTCCAATTTACATTTACCCCTGTGATAAATTAGTCCTCGATGACAGTGAACAGAAAATATGATCTTTTAAAAGCATGAATTTGTACTTACCAAAACTGAAAGCGAATGCAACGAAGATAGGAATGCAGATGTTAAGATCCATTTTGATAACAAGAAAAACTAATCTACATAGTCTGTGTCTTTCAGAAACCCGAACCGTCTCCAAATTTGAAATTTTTAAGATAAGAAGTAGCGTCAAATAGTTGGAACAAAAGTGAACATGACTTTTATCGAAATGGCAATGTTTTTGTAAGGTCAATAGACCTGTTAAACCACTGAAAACATGAAGATATATTTCAAGTAGCGGTTTTTGACAAAAGCGAATGATGAAAATGACATTATAATCAAAATTAGGTTGATCTTAATCAATATCAAAACGTTTTGATCATGTATGTTTAAGGTTTCAGTTCCATGAACTATATGGTTTTGGGTAAATTGTTATTGTGTAATGGCATGTGTGCTCATATCCTTCACATATATCGTCCATTGCTTTTAATTGCGTTGTCTGATGATGCACAATGTATTGCTTGCTTGCATTTGGACTCGAGAGAGTGGAGACGATAGTGGAGAAAATGAAAGCCCGAGGAAACCATACGATTTAAAAAGTATTGATATAAGCGTGTTGTAAAGATAACCTTACAGAATTTAACAATAAAATCAATCAGTTCTGCGTCAATTTAGTGTTTTCGTAGATATATTTTATCATCACGATTCCAGGAAAACAACTCACCGGCTTTGCTTCGAATCTCTCAAAGTTAAATATATTGTCGCATATAACTAGTGGAAATGAATAGAATAACATATTTAACATGACATTATTTAGCCAATATAAACGAACTGTTATCTAGTTAATTTTTATTTTTATATATAAATCAGGTTTTATTCATTGATATGATACAATTTCTGTTCAGAATAAAACGCAGTATGAAATATACAAATAATGCTGATGGATGAATGATTGCACTTAACATGGACTTTGAACATGTCCATGTATGACAGTTCAATTCAAGAAGGCGATAACATGCAAAATATCACCACCAACCATTTGTTACAGACGCTGACCGCGTCAAAAAAAGTTGGTGACTACAACAATATGTTACCACTTCTGGAGGTGACATTGCCACTTCTGGAGGTGACATTGCCACTTCAGGTGGTGACATAATAACTAGTGCCTGGGTATCTATTTTTGGGAATGTGATACCATGTCAAATAGCAGGTATTCACATCCATTCACATAGAATGCAATCTTTGTTTACTATTCTACTTATAAGGACATTGCACTCTTTCATACATCTACGCATCATTTATTTGTTTTCTATATACTGTAGTTGCAATGTCAATCAGCGCGACAGGCTGACGTCTTGCAACAAACGATTATATCCATGTATCAATTGTGTAATGAATATTCAAAATTTATATTTGTATCTATGAACATAACATATATAGAGTGGGCCAAAAAACGCCACTTTTTTCAAAATGCTTTAACTTTTTTAATTTTTGATACAAAATCATAATATGCATACCAAATGAAACTTGAGGGTGCTATCTAGCCATGGATTATGAATTGTACACTTTTACTTGAATAAAATATGTCACCAGCGTGTTACTTAAACATGTGGTGCGCCATGAGAAATAAACATAATTTCCAAAATGTTTCTGTACTGATATGGACTGATGACCACCAAGCTAATAGTCCCGATGCAATCCCCAGTAAGTATAGGGTATGGCAAGGTCTCCAGGAGATGGTACGAAGGCACCCAATCTAAAAAATGCCTAACTAAAGCTGAAAATTAAGACAGGTTGACAGAAACTTTACATTTCCAACATTTCACCAACATTTCACTGATACTGCTATATCAGTAGGGCAGCTAAGACTAAAAGCTATTATCAAAGAGGGTGGCAAACCAATTAAACTCCTCTTATAGATCAAATATAATCCAAGTTGAAGGACTTGTTACATTATATTATTACTAAGAACCCCTGGCACTATATAACTGCAAAATTTGGGGTATATAGGTTGGAAAATAAAAAAGTTATAGTGTCTTGAAAAAAGTGGCGTTTTTGGCCCACCCTGTACATACTAATTCAGGAATGCAGCATATGGTAACCTCACCAACCTTTAATCTACAAAAATTGTAATTTTCTAAGCTGTACCGTTTCAGTACCTTCCCCAAGGTCGGTACTACAATACGGTATGTATAAAGATATAAAATAATATCAATATCATGTACACTAGTAATTGAAATTGGTGAAACGATATGAAAGTTACAGTATTTTTCATCTTATTTATTGGAAACTGTATAACAACATTGCACTATTTTATATATCCGTGCATTATTGTCTTCATAGATAGATGTCCATGCATACTGAGGCATGCCATACAGCTTCTAGACATGTCTTACAGTCTCTAGACATGCCATACATCCTCTAGACATGTCTTACAGTCTCTAGACATGCCACACAGCCTCTAGACATGTCTTACAGTCTCTAGACATGCCACACAGCCTCTAGACATGTCTTACAGTCTCTAGACATGACATATAGCCTCTAGACATGTCTTACAGTCACTAGACATGACATATAGCCTCTAGACATGTCTTACAGTCTCTAGACATGCCACACAGCCTCTAGACATGTCTTAGTCTCTAGACATGCCACATAGCCTCTAGACATGCCAAGTGGCCTATAGACATGCCACACAGCCTCTAGACATGCCACACATCCTCTAGACATGTCTAACAGCCTCTAGACATGCCACATAGCCTCTAGACATGCCAAGTGGCCTATAGACATGCCACACAGCCTCTAGACATGCCACACAGCCTCTAGACATGCCACACAGCCTCTAGACATCATGCCACACAGTCTCCAGACATGCCAAGTGGCCAATAGACATGCCACACAGCCTCTAGACATGCCACACAGCCTCTAGACATGTCACACAGCCTCTAGACATGTCTTACAGTCTCTAGACATGTCACACAGCCTCTAGACATGCCACGCAGCCTCTAGACATGTCTTACAGTCTCTAGACATGTCACACAGCCTACAGACATGCCACACAGCCTACAGACATGCCACACAGCCTCTATCTAGACATATCATACAGCCTCTAATGAACTCTTTGTTTGCTATTGCACTTCACAACGTCATTGCAATCGTTTATTTATCTGTGCATTACAGTTTCCCATACATAATGTTTGCTACGCCTCCAATGGCATTTGGTGGTCTTGGCCCAGTCCTCATTTTGTAGACAACCAATGCTATAACAGCCAGCAATACAATCAGCACAATTACTCCTATTGCTATTCCTGCTGTTTGGCCTGCTGTAAAAGGAAGGCCATCTGAAAATAAGAAAATTATTGAAACTTATTTTGTCACAAACGTGTTGTATCTTACATCTTTTGTATGTTTTTGTTTTAACTGCTGCCTTGAACTTCCTTGTATACGTGTTTCTCATATAGAGTCTATAAACATTTGTCAATTTACATATCCCCATGTTAATGTTCTTTAATATTTGAATGTTCCAATGACACAGACTAAAATTATTCAAGGTAAAATGTCATATTCTGCAGACTGATTTTTGCAAATCTTGGATATTGTAATTGCTTTTGTAAAATGCCCCTAGCTATTCCATATGTATGAGCAAGGCTGTATAAATATACCTGATTTTATTACTAATAAACTTACTCTGAGGCTGGGGTCCAGTTCCCATTTGAAATATAGGTTTCCTTTTATAATTGCAGTTAGTTGTATGATAGAACCCATCTGGAGTCATAGCGGTACACTCGTTCCCACCAAAATGGTTCGGATGAGTGTTCCATGCTCTGTAATAAAAGCGAAAGTGTGGCTAGAACTGAATGTTTAAAGGGCCATAAAATATGAATTAGAGAAAACGGGACAATGCATGTGCCAGTTTCAATGCTGACAACAGATTCACTAAGCAAGCAGACGAATTTCATGACCAACTTATTTAAATACGAACCTACCTGCTATTTTTCATATTCGTATTTAAATGAATTAACCGTAAAATAGTAAATCAAATCATCAGCCGTAAGTCGAGAGCTGAATTCGCGAATGGCACCTTAGCGTATCGTGCTTACATTAAATTGTCCCTATATTCACTACCATCAGTCCACCTCCAGGGCCCCAAATTCCCATTGGGGAGGTCATTCAGTCCGGTCCACCAGCCAGGCCATGTAGGATCGTCCAACCATATAATTCCACATTGGTCACGCACCCATTCCTAAAAGTTCATGTTACCTAGCTAACATTTGAGAATACAACTGAATCTATGGATATGAATTATTCATATTAAAATGAGTTGGCCGTAAAATGTCAGATTGTCAGCCGACACCCTGCACAGCAGCTGAATTCGCAATATTTTACAATAATCTTACTTGAATCTCTTTGAAATTGTCCATTTTAATGTAATGTTTTGTTACCGATCCAATTCAGTGATTTATTCCATAATAACATGTTTTCCACGGGAAAATAACAGGGAATAAAATTGATATTCCAAAAATCCCTATCAGATCCCGTATCAGCCAAAATCTCGTATCAGATCCCGTATCAGAACTATCAGAAAAATTCATGAGACTTAATATTGTAATGGTATAGTCTAGCATGTTATGATCCATATTAGTATTATGAATTATTTCTACTTTAAAATTTGTTAATAAAAGTTGAAAATGTCATTCAATAAATTAGGTGTAGCCTATCATTTAACGCCACCATCATTGGGTGACGAAATACAAAACAAGTTTCAGAAAAACGTTATGGAATAAATAGGTTATAAATGGTCGTGATAGAATATGAATATCAATATGATATTTTCCTTGGTCAATACCATATTTTCCCTTATAATAAAATTCATATTCCATCCCTCCCATTAAATAACCTCTATATATAAAAATGTGTTATTATCTAAATACGATGTTATTTTACTGAATGAGATTCACATTCGTCATGTTTAATTGATGTATGTATGTATATATTGTATTGTATGTATACTGATTCATCAGCATTGGTAATAGACAGTAAATCAGCGTCTGTCATTAGAGCTTGGCAGGCTGTTCTTGAATCCTGCCAGTTAAGGAGTGATGCTCGGTCCCTCGGACTGAAGTAGTAGCATGAGCCATCCCTTTCACGCCAACCAAATGGACAGTTTTGATTTGGACCACTGCCTGGAATGAATTTTAAATGTAGAACGAAACGAAATAGAACGAAATATTGGTTCATGTACTTGGTAGCCAGCTATAGTGGGCAAGTGATTTCACGAACCATGATAGTGCTGCTGAACAATTGCTAAGTCAACGTAACACTTTCAAAAAGTAAATAAAAGTTGGTGATGTTGGTTTATAAAGGAACTTGATTCGAATGCTGACTTCATGAGGTCAATATATTTATGTCTGTATATCCTTCCTAAAAAGGGACGATATTGTCGTCAGCTTTGCGGGTGGGCGGCGGGCGGGTGGCGTCTCACTTTTCTTGTCATCAAAATTTCAGGAAAACCACTTAACAGATTTTATTTATTACATATCACATGGTAAGAAGTTCAAGAGCTGTTTAATTTTTCGGCAGCCATTTTGCATTCTGAGGGCCATCTTGGAAGTTTATAGATAAATCTTGTCATCGCAATTCCAGGAAAACCAATCGACGGATTTACTTCAAATTTTTACAAATGTTAATTGATAAGAAATTTAGAGTTGATAAACTTTTCGGCAGTCACCTTGCATTCTGGCGGCCATTTTGGACGTTTTTAGATAGATTTTGTCATCGCAATTTCAGGAAAATCACGTAACGGATTTACTTCTTTATACAAATGTTACATGCTAAGAAGTTCTACAAATGATTAACTTTTCGGCGGCCATATTGCATTCTGGGGGCCATTTTGGAAGATTTTAGATAAATCTTGCCATCGCGATTCAAGGAAAACCACTTAACTGATTTACTTCAAATTTTTATACATGTTACATGGTGAGAAGTCCTAGAACTGATTAATTTTTATTTGACCTTTTTGCTCTCTGGGTCATCAAGCCCATAATTGTTATGTTTTAGGTACGATATTGTTCACCCTGTGCCTTGTTGAGCCCATTTTTTAGGGTAAAGTTTAATCTAAAAGTAAGAAAATGTACCTCCACCTGCCGTTTTCTGGCAAATATAACCAGGCATGGATGATGCACTCGTGTCATGAAATGAACCGTCAGAGTAAATAAAAGCACCTTTACTGTTTTTGTCCCAATTGTTTGGGTCCTTCTCCCAAACCCTAAATGCAATAAGATTATACTGCTTAATAATGATGTTTTAATTATTGTATGAATTGCCTTTGATATTTACTTTCAAAACTAAAAATGTGTCTGATTTCATTCTTCTTGATTAGTTTCAGTTTGCGCTGCATTAATAGATTTATATACAAATCATTATGTTCTTTATCATTGGAATGAACTTACACATAATCTGGATTGTACGGTGTGTTGTCTACCCACTTCCAGGCGTCTGTCTGAACGCGGTCGTCCATACCAACCCAAAAACTTCCAGGAGATGTTATCCACATGACGCCAACCATTTCTCTTATCCATTCCTTTGAAAAGGGTGAAGAATAGATTAATGTTTAATATAATTGGTAATATGTTCTAACACTCAGAATATAGGTAGATAAGTTGGTTGCCGAGACGGACCAGTTTGAGTTTGGTCAGAGGTCAGGTTTTAAATGAATATGGCAAGACAGAGAAAAGAATTAGGAGTAAAACTCTTGGAGACATAATAAACAACGGAAGCATTGATATACTCATGAATGCTAAACGTCCGTTTAATTTAATTTTCTTAGAAATATCACATGGCGAAAAATTACCCCAAAGAATTGAACGCAAACAGTAGGCGACCTTTATACATTTATGGAAAAACTATACCTACCGCTTCGTCAGCAGTCCTAAATGTGGCAAGATCACCTCCTTGTGTTTTCCCACACTCTGCTCGAGCACCATCGTACGTCATGCCAGAAGATCCCTCTCTGCTTGAGAACATGTAGCACGAGTCTCCACGTCTCCACCAACGGTTATCTCCTTGGTCTATACAGGAATCACTACTCGAGGGAAGGTCATAGCGACAGATATAGGCAAGCTTAGAGTCACAGTTTCCATCATTCATCACGCCGTTCTTTAGCATATTCCCACAATGTTCATTGTTCGTCCATCTGTTTGGTTCTGTGTTCCATTTACTTAAATATGAAATTGTGTTCTATTAAAAAAATGTAAAGCCAAAAAATAATAAAAAAAACTATTGTGTTCCGAAATCTGAATGATATTCTTCATTGCTTTTCACAAGTCTTTGACATCCCATAAGCTTCAACTCTACTCTCTCAAATGTAATAACGTGCAACTCCATATTAGCTTACATGTACAAATCGTTTGCTCTTGTGCCATCCCTCCATTTCCAAGGATGACATCTTTTATTTTGATCTACATCACTCAACCCTATCCATCTGCTATTCGTCGATTGCATTGCGGCTATTGCTGTTTCGATGTACGTCTATAGTGTAAAATATGTATTCAAAGAATTGGAGTTGATTTAATGGAATTAAATTTACGTTGCGGCGAGCGTGTGCAAACTACATGTGCGGTCTCTGTACGACGTATCCAGTTTTTTCAGGCCGCAGGGTAGCCATAGTAATTATAACAAAGAAATTAAAAATTCGCTGAGCATCTCCCGTGGGAAATCTGACTGCAAGAATGTCCGACCGCAGAAATTATACGGCGAGCACAGAAATGTTACTGACCGCAGAAATGATAGACCATACAGTCACCGTAACAAATGTAATGTGACTTGGGCTTTAGGGGAAACAAACATCAATATACAAGCCAATGATCAAACCTTTAAAGAAAGAGTGTTTAAACTACCCCATCATATAATCTGACATCTCAGTCATACTGAAGCCATAAATTTAAACACATATCGAGAAAACAATTAAATAAGAATAGCCATAATAATATATTTTTGGATCTTAATTGATGTGAAATAATAACAAATAATTGGAAGAGACAAAAAAAGATAAGTTTATGAGCTTTACTGGAATTATGTAACTAGGTTTTGAAACCAATGCTTTGAGCGTCGGAAGGGGGAGGGCATTGGGGCCTTTCCCTAGATTATTTAGATTTGAAAACGAGCCTAAAATTGGAAGCTGTAGAGCCCTGGGTCAAAGTCAAGTTACTTTCTAAAGCACATTTTTCTTTTTTTTTTATTATTGGCGGATATATGTTCAGCATGCAACAGAGAGGGAACATTTTCTGGGGGCATACCCCCCAATTCCTCGAGATTGCGACGCGCTTCACGTACGACCCATCTACCTAAAAGTCGCCCCTCCCCTCGGCAAATCCTTCTGACGCCACTGCGATTCTCTTTAATTTTGAGATCTATAGCCATTTTCAGCCTTTATTGATAAGAGAGATGTATTCATACCTTTGTGGCTGCGTCTCTTATTGACAGAAGGTCACCAGCTCCCTGGGATTGACAAAGTATTCTTGCCTCCGACCACGTCACCTTGTTACTAGGCTCTATGTAGTAACAACCTTTGCTTGCAGGGTCATACTGATAGTTTGCTGGACAAGTTGTCGTGCTTGGTACTAAAAATAGCGAATTTATATCCGATGATTCATAAGTTATTTTCAATTTGCTGTGAAAAATAGTGAGTCAAAAGTATATGTTTTTCATCCGAAAAATAGAACAAATGTAAATACAACAAGTTGGTGAGTTTGTCTGGTTATGTTGAGACTAAAACAGACCAAGGAAAGCTGGCATGTTCTAAAAGGTGTAGTGGCCCCAGTAAAAATTGGACTGGCCTCTGTGGTCTATTGATCGGGGCCGCCATCTTTTAGTCATTTCAATCAAATAATGACGAAATGATGGCGGAAGCCACAGTCAACTAAACTGCCGACAATACACCTTTTAGAACATGCCAGAGGGATTGTCACCCATTTTAAAAACAGTTGGTAAGCAATTTGTATATGGTTAACGTACTATGACATATGTATGCCATCTTTGCGTTGCAATTTCTACTTCGGATACTAGTGGCAGATCCTCTCATCGATGAACACAGTGCCATACCATTGTAATTGTTAGGCTCGGAGTCCCAAGTGCTGTCATAATACAATAAAACATATTTAGAGGTTATGTCACTATCGTTGCTTATACCATGGTCAGAGCAATATCAGGTATGTAATAGCAAGTGATAAATCACATATTTGGGACAGGGACGATATCAGGGATGATATCGGGTTTAGAGGGATGATATCAGGGATGATATTGATATCATCCCGGGTAAATTCAAAAATTTTACAATTTTCCCCAAAAATTCATTCCAAAATTTTTCAGTTTTTCGAAATTGTTTATTTTTTCAAAAAAATAATTTATACTCTTGACCATGGTATAAGGTCGTTATACACCTGTCAGGATGTCATGGGTAATATCCCTCGGATGATATCGATATTTTTCCTATCAGATCCCTCCTGGTGAATAACTACTTTATTGCCGAGGTTTTCATTTATGTATGGCCCGACCTTAAGAGGGACATTCAAACCTTATATTTGCCCGCTGTCTTGTGAACAGTTTACACTATTCATTACTATAGGTATGTTATAAGATATGACACTTCATTTTTATTTATTGATAAATACCTTCATTGGAAAAATGTTAAGCTAATGGAATTTTCAACACGTGATAGGATTGATGGCTAACGGGAAAGTAATAAAGGATCGTCAACAAAGTAGAAAGCGGTAGAGAACACATGGAACACAAGGAATAAATTCCAACATTTAGACCGATAATAAAATCTACGTACATATAACTTGTATCTGCCAGCATCGTTTGGTCTAACCACTTCCAGTTGATGGCGTTGTCTGTTGGACCATTATTGAGGCCAGTCCACCAACCAGTGCATAATGTACTGAGAATCATCGCTAATGCAGTAACACCGTCGCGTAAATATAACTACAAAACCAAAATTAAATGTTTTGTTAGAATGATCGGGTGAGCACATCCTACAAATGCATGTAGGGGTCCACCCTGGAGAAGAGCGGGTGCTGTCTGGTGTCCAGCGTTTGGAGGATGGTGGGTATTATACCAACCTTTTATGAGGGTTACAAGACTTGTTCTAAATGGCGTCGAATTCTAATGCAGGCACATTGGATTCTTTACCAACAAAGCCACCAACCTTTAATTTTGTCACTTAACGTTGTAAATACTGAAATAATTCTTTCAAGGAAAGAAAGACCACTCAATTAAACATGGAATTATACAGATGTCAATGATAAAATCGTCATAACTTATTTCCAAAATTATGTTACAAAAGGTTGGTTGCATTTTTGTGCAGAATCCAGGTGTGTCTGCAAAGGAATAGACGACACATCTTGTAACATGGAATTTATCGAGACAAAAAAGTTATGCAATATTTTGTAGGTGGGTGGCATTTTTTGTGTCATGGCACGAGATCATATCAACTTACATATTCATCTCTCGAGGTGATCCAAACTAAATCTGCACCAGTTTGTCTATTTTTGCAATCTGCCCTTGCATCATCCCAGGTTTTCCTGTTCTCCCTGTTTCGAGTACTGAAGTAATAACAACTGCCTTCATTTTCTACAAAACCCCCGACACATGTTGGTGTACCTATTGTTATAAAAAATAGACAAGGACGTGAACTAGGAAATTATCTATGAATGCGAGTTCGCCAAATGAAAATTGCGCTCAAGCACTTAAGTAACAATCAAACAAACCCGGTGTCTTGTCATATTTGCAAATGTAGCCTCTTTTGGAATAGCACCTGGCATCGTTGAAAACACCATTTTTCCAAATTTCACCACAGTGTTCGACATCATTTAGATTATTTGGTTCGGATTCCCATGATCTGTAAACACACATACAATCAAGTACAACCCGTTACCATGTATGCCCACATGATTTTATGCAAGTCTCGTTTGACTTCGCTTCTCAAACTTGAACATTGATATGTTCAAGTTTGCCTCTAAAGATAAGACCCCCATTTTTAGCATGTTTTGTAAAATGATCATGAAATCTTGACCATTTAAAATGGACCAATGAAACTTAGTGAAATAAATTAACATTGAACAAGGTTTAATTGTTTAAAATATGACTTCAACCCCATACTGGATGACTTAGTTATTAAGATTTGTTTGGATTCTTTTTTGCCTCACCCTGTAAAATGTGCAGATTTTATCTTACTAAACAGGTTTCACTCAAGTTAAAATGCCTGTTTCTGACCAGTGTTTTGATCAAATGATCAGGGACACTCTCAGTCATCCTAATTATAAAATACAACCATGTTCTTAGATGCTTACACATATCTAGTGTCGGATGCAAATTCATCGAGCCATCTCCAGTTTGTGATGCAAATTGGGTTATCATCGATTTTCAATCCAGTCCACCATGCGCCTTTGTTTGTTTGTAGTAAATTTTCAATCCCAGCCTAGAGTTCAAAAAAAGGATGATGCATATTTTGAAATGTTTGTAGTGTATTCAAAATGGGAATAGCCCAAGATTCATAGACGAACCCATCTTAACATGGAGAAAGGTTAATATATAAATGTTGGGTAATTTCCTCCACTTTGTGTATTTCCAAATTACAACCATTCGAAAATTCTAGTTCAAATCGCCATTGGGGGATTGCTTACTGCTATTTAAAATTATTTCAACACTGCTATGTGAACGTCTGAAGATCAATGGGGATATGTGAAAGATATATATATCCTTGCTTCCGATAGATGTTAGTATTAATCCCCTGGATCTTCTTGGCAGAGTTTAAGATGCTAGGCTTAATGAAAGCTGATTTACTCACGCAGTGTCGAGAGGGCGAGGTGTGAAAAGGTGCACAGGGCGTACTTGTCGCTCGTTGGCTACGTTCGCACCACAACAAAATGTTTGACGGATGGCGAATAGTCATTTTACAACTTCTTAGTATATATACACGGGGTACCATCGAATAATTTTGGCAACGTACCAGAGAACGACATTTTACTAAGAAATGGCAATAATTTAACACAATATATTTTTTAACTAGAGT